TTGTTGATGCTGGCTGAGTGACGAAGATTTCCAGATTGGTTTCAGGTTGATAAATGTGTTTCTCGCCTTCCCGATTCTCGCTCGATTTGACATCCTCGTTCGTTCCGACTGCCTGTAGTTGAGACAATGCTACCTCCCGTTGATGGTGATTGGCGCTGGATGTTGCTTTTGTTGTTGTTGATGACTGGTTGTTTTCATAACCTCCGTCTTATCTATGTTCACCTGGAGTCCTGTCTTCTCTGGCTGCTTCTTCGACCAGTTTGTCGGTTTTCGCTTGTAAGTCTTCGATTTAAATACAGTATTTAACACTATTTCTAAGACATTTGTAATAACTGAAAATAACACTTGATTAATATGGTCACTAAGTTGAAACAATGACAGAATCATAGAAATATATTACTCATTTTACAAGTCAACATATTCAAGCTCCCACCTACAAACTACAAGTTAATTAAAGTCTTAAATTGGTCAAGACAGTATCAGTGTAACAAACTTATTTATAAAAAGTAGAAGAAAGACTACATTTAGTAAATAATTTTGAATGTTTATATTAGATATTACCGTCCGAGTTTAGATGCTTAAAATAATACAGTAAAATGTGATGAACTAGCACAGTGTTGATGAAAATTACTGACGGTAGAACTCGAAGGTTTAAAATAATTCAAGTTACGTAGCTATCAGCTACTGGATATTTTACTGTTGATTAAGGTAATTATTTGAATTTTAGGTACTTCGAGTTAAATGAAAACTCTTACATAAAGTATCATTCTGTTTATCTAACAATAAAAAAACCAAAGTTTTCAAAGAAAATTAAACGGTACCAGGTATAAACCAATTTTTCATTCAGATGTTACTTCAACACCCGTTAACCGTGTAATCTCTTCCTCACACGATCTCCTCTGTCACCACGGGATGGCTCACTCGTCGCTTTCCATTGAAATTCCACTCGAGGGCGCGCGATGTCATTCGGCGGTCTCCTCAATGTATACCCGAGCCATCTCCACTTTCTCCTACATATTTGTTGAGTGATCGGTTCTCGGTTTGTTTGTTCCTACAGCTGCTTGTTACTGATTCTTTCTGGCCTACCATTTGATTTTTAGTATGGAACGAGCGAAGGCAGGTGTTGATAAAAGTCTGCCTTAACTTGTTGGAAATGTTTTCCGTGACGCGCTGGTCAAGTTTCTGACTCATATTGAGGGACTAACTAGCTTTACATTGGTGCTGAAAACGCGAATCTTGTTCGTTATGTTGAGTGATTACAGAAGATTTCCAAACTGGTTTCAGGTTGATGAAGGCGTATCTTGAGTTTTCGATTCTCGCAAGCTTTGACATCTTCATCCGTCCTAACTGCTTGTTGTTGAAACGATGCTTCCTAGATAAATGAAGGAAGTAACCTCATTTAAATTTCTCCCGTTGATGATGATTGGTGCTGGCTGTTCTGGCTAGAGGTTGGTTATCTTCAGTACTACTCAGTAAACTAAGTAGTTAGCAAATTCACATCTTGTATTGATTGTTTTGGAGAACTAAATATACGAGATATGCCTTCCAAAGGATACTAATTGAAACTTTGCATTGACTCAATTCCTTTTAAATTTCATTATCAAGTTAAGGATAATTCTGTCTACTGACTTAAATATTTGATTCCAATATATATATATATATATATATATATATATATATATATATATATATAAGATGACCTTGGTACTGTTTGTATGATCTAGTTATATTAAACAAATATATTACCGGACAAAGAGATAAAACATTACTTGTTTGATATTATGTACTTATCACGTGATTCATTGGTGTTTTCTATTTCTGGTACAACAGTTTTACAGCCCCATATCATTGTGAACTGATTTACTTTAATTAGTTGATATTTTAATGTTTTATGGAAAACAATGCTTCCTGAATTAGTGATACGTCAATTAACAAATTTAGAAAGATTTATTTTCACTAGTGACCCCTTGACGAAGAATTAAAGACAGTGCTAAGCCTCCTGATATATATATATATATATATATGGAAAGATGAAACTGATTTGCAGATAATGTAATTTTCTGTGAATAATGAAATCAATTAAGATGATTTTGTTTGATAAGTTTAAAGGTCACTTGTCTGAGTGTATATCAGTTTCATTTAAAGTAGTAAATCTCATCCTAAGGTTTTCTATAGTAAAATAAACTGAGTGAAATTAGAGAATATTTTTTTGTGATTTTGGAAAGGAAGGTGGAAATACAACACTAAAGGCTATTCATATATACTTGATGAAAATGTTTGGTTTACATGACAGTGTACAGCTTTAAAGTAGTGTCATAAGTGTTTGGTTTTTAAATTTTCAATAATGAGATGGATATAATAGCTACTGACTTAAAGTTCTCAGTAAAAGTTTCGCTGCATATGTGAGCTCCTTTTATAAGTGTAAACAATAAAAGTAGTCAGCTCATGTAAGTAAAAGTGAAAATATTAGTGACATTTATGTGAAGCATTCTACTGAGGCTTATTTTTTATCCAAATTAGTGAGATGGATACCCATTACTTGTGTAATGCTTGGCATACTACAGCAGCATGCTTGCAGTGATTTCCTACAGACAGATTTTCCTCTCGCAAAGAGGACAAAGCTACACAAAAAGGTAATTTTATGCTAGTCTTAAATTAATTCCAATGTGATGTAGTTATTTTGAAATGACATCGTTTTGATATGTACAAATAAAAAAATTTATTTAATTTATTTTCCGTATCTCTCCCTATGTTTCTCTTCCTTAGCATTTTGTTAACGCTTCCTTAAATTCCTTTACACTCCAAGTGGAACATACGTCTTCAAGCTTTCAGCTTTGACGTTTCAGTAGCGGTGATGTTTTCATGGGAGGGGGGTTGCTGGCCTTACGCCCAACCGACTCTCTTTCCCGGGCTGACTAGCTGATGGCTAGTGAACCAGGAGATGTTTATAGAGTGAGTCAGCTAGAAATCAAACTCATGTGGCTGGCAAGCATTCTACCATTGAACTAGCGATCCTCGTCTGTTTACAGTAGGAATGCTTATAAAAACATTTATTTCCTTAATTGTATATGTGTGATTGTCACTTTGACTTTACAATATACCCCATTATATTCCATAAAGATTAGTTTCATAACATTATAGGTTTAATAATTAACCATATTTCAATACAAAATGTGTGCAATGCAATGAATATTTATGGGTTTTATAAAGAAAAAATTAACTTGAAAGATTATCTATGAAAGCGCATTTTTCAAAACATGTTTTATGAGAATCTTTAAATGAAACGTGATTAAGCATAAACAATAACACAATAAATAGCCTGAAAATTGAAGTTATTCAAATGCGTTTACTTTTATACCTACAGTGAATTAATGAAGTCGCAAAGAAGTAAAATGCCTTCACATTTTATTTCTCTGGAACTCAAGTATTCAACAGCTTTTGAAGCGAACTCTAAATGAGAAACGTCTAAAAAAATAGTTGTTAGTTCATCAGTTAACTGATAATAAAACTATATGCTTTAATCATGCCTGTGTAGTACAATTTCATCCTAAATACGCATTATTCAGAACATCTTTTGTCTTAGAAAGGTATCATGGTCTTCAGCTGGCACACAGCTTTTACATAATTGTCTCAACCAGGGTGACTCGTGGTTACAAACATTATAATCGAAGTTACATATGTCCAAACCAAGTTCACTTTTAACAGTTTGAAAAAATTTGGGCATTGGCTATATGAAACTTATTACAATAAAGGTTTTTTGTATTTCCCAATGAATGAAAAACAAAACGATGTTGTTTTTACTGACGTTTCGCTATTTAATGCTAATAGCTTTATTGAAGTATTATTAAACCGGAATTTATGAAATCTCATCATATATGTAACAAAGAGTTAAGGGGTGAGAAAATAGACTTAGGTCAAGTTGAAAGGACATATTGAAAGTCAAAATAACAATAAAGATCACTTAACTTCTTAGACGAGCACACTCTCTGACAACGGATGAGAAAGGGAAAGAAGAAGAAATATCAAACATTACTGAAACTCTCAAGCAAAACAACTACCCAATGAACTTCATCAACAAAATCAACACAGACATTAAATATGGTCAAAAACGCATTCCGAAAACATGGACATCAACAGTCGTTATTCCATATAGAGTAGAGACATGAGACGATATCAGAAGAGTACTCAATCAGCTCGATAAAGCTAATAGCATTAGATAGCAAAACGTTAGTAAAAACAATATCGTTTTGTTTTTCATTCATTGGGAAATACAAAAAACTTTTGTTATAATGATTGTAATCGAAGCTGTATAAATTTCTAAATCGCTTCACAGTGACATAGTTATACTTCTCAAAAAGTATTTAAAACATGGTGTAATTTTCGGAAGAAAAGAATTTTAATATGAAACTTTGTGAGTTACACTTATTTTGTTAGCTTGCTTGTTATTAGCTAACAAATGCCATTTCCTGAGCACATATTTCATGTTATTCATATAAAATGTTGGAAATAACCGGGTGAATTAGGAGGGAAAGAATAATAAAATATGAAACATAAAACGGAAATGTAAGGCAGCTTGTCTGGATTATTAATCTGACGAATCAAATTTTCAACATAATGCAGAAAAAAAAGATTAAATATTTGAAGGATAGGAGAATAATTAACATGGATTGATTGTATTCAACAAAACAAGATTGTTTAACTTAATTGGATAGAATTTCTTCAAATAGTATCTGATAAGTTTATACGTACAATGTCTTGTTTGGCAAACGAACGAAACATACCTGAATTCTTGTTTGGTTTAACAATGAAATATATATTCCTTATTTACAAGTACCAGATAAAAATTCCTTTTCCTAATTTCTCTTCAAAGCTATACACTGTTAACTGACAACAAATGTCAGTGGTTACAGTCCGCTGATTTTTCACAGTTAGTGAAACCACTAGATTATTACAACAAATGCACATATATAATCGTGTATAAAAATGGTTGGATCACTTACAGTCTGACGTTTGTAAACATATTCGATCACTGTATTGACTTTCTCCAGCTTGATTGTGTGCCTTCACACGTGCACGATATACAGAACGAAAGTGCAGTCCTTCTACAGTGCACATAGTTTCTGCTCCACGATAAACTTTCTAAATAAGAGAAAAAGTCAGAAATGAATAGCTTTTAGGCTTTTTTGAAATTTAAAACATTTAGTAAAGATGTGTGGATTTAGACTAAAAATATAATTCAGTATAAATTATATAATCGATTACAAAAAGCAGCACCCTGAGTGCATTTTACCCATTTCTCAATAAAATCAATATGAAGCAGATGTGAAACCATAAGTATCTCTTTAAAAATACTCAGGAATTGATAAAGTTTAAAGGAAACTCCTCAACTTGAGGCAGGTGTTGTTTCGGGTGAACAAAATACACTCAATAGTACTTAATATAAAAGTACTGAGTTCACTAATCAGTGATAATCTAACTGACCTAAAATCTTATTTAGTTATGTGGATGTCGCCAGTTATACACATCAATCTGAGTTTGTGAGAAAAATTTACGTCGCTGATATATGTGGCATATTCAAAACCTGTAGAGTTTGAAAACCGATTTAGTGGAAAAGACCACCCCGTAACCTCAAATTCCTAGACAGGATTTCCTGAGAGTTATGTAGCATGAATTATCAAACGAACTGAGGATATGAAAAAGTGGCTTGCCAGTACTTTAAAGTTTTGATATTTTTTTACTGTTGTCAGTTGGTAACAAGCATTTTTAGTCTAATTATTCAAACCTGATCTACTTTTAATGCTGGTCATTTTCTACGTGTTATATTACTAAATTAATTTGTTATTCGTAGTGTTAATCGGGGATTCGACATGTGATAGACAGTATTACACAGGTAATAGAAAATTTGATGGAAACATGATCTCATATTAATTTTCACTGTAATTTAGTGAATATTTGGCACTTAGCTTTAAACATTTGTTGAGAAAGATCTTGTGATTGCAAACATTACTGAAGCTAGTAACTGTGGCACCTTTGATTAGCGGGAAGTATGTGTAAGTCACAGAAGGCAAAATTATGGACTCCAAAACGTCGATGACTATCCAAGTAGTTATCTATGTTAATCAGCTACTAATTGTGTGCTACGATTACGATAAATCAAGGATAAACTAATTTCACATTTTAAATTTCCTAACTAATGTAGTTAGACCGCGTAAATAAAGATTTTATTATAGAAAACCAAGTAAAGATTTAAAGTCTATAGATCTAATTCACAATTCATGAACTGATTCTCAATTTCCAGTTTACACATTTCGAGCGGTGAGCTTGACGTAAAGTGAAGAAAACGACTATCCACTGTTTGGATCACTTCAGTCTGGCTAGAAAGCACTAGTGGTTAATGTGAGCGGTGCTGAACAGTACTCATATCAAGCATTAGTATCTAGCATTATTTATTCAATAGCCTGAGAAATACGTTACAAAAATGTTAACGTTGTTACGTAACCATGATATGAATATCCGTTTTAAGGAAATTTACTTCTCACTAAATCCTGCAAACTTGAAAACGTTCGCACACTAGTTAGCGATTAAATTTTTTATAGTAAAATCAATTCACACATAGTAGGAGTTTAGATTCGTCAGTATCCTACTGAGAAATACTTGCTTAATTTTATCAGCTTTTTATTTCAATGTCATTTTTTAATTGATGAAAATGTAGACTCAGAAATGCATAGCAAACTTGGCACTCTAACCTAATTTACCCCTTTCAATATGTATAAAGCAATAAAAACACGTGGTTACTTGAGATTTGTGAAGATAATACTTTCATTATTACCTCCGCATGAAAAACGGTTAAGCCAAAGTCAGTCAGTGTCTTTTACACTCGAAAATAGACATTTCCAACTGAATTCTTGTTAAAAGTTTTCTAACAGAATATCTCGAAAGATTTGCATCTAATGACAGGACCTCACCATTCATCTTAAGGCTGGAATTTAAATAAACAAGTATAGCTTTTTCTGGATGAAGAGTTTGCTGCGTTTTGAAACGTATCAATGCAATGTAGTGAAAAACAGTTATACAAATGAATTCGATTCCCCACTCTTGATGTTCTTCATAGTAGAATGATTTCACCGACGGTTCTGTTGGTGAAATTGCTTTCATGGCAGTTGGCGAATTGAAATATTGTTTCTAAGACGTTTTGTTTTAAACTCATGAGATTACACTAATGGAATTCATCGTATCAAATGTGGAGTGAAATGGCTTTTGAAGAAACTTTCTTTTGATCAGTTAAACGAATAAAAATTTACTTACTTATCACTAAATGCCAACCGAAGCTGATACACTTATCTTAATAGTTATTTGGTTTAAAAGTGCACATAAATAATTGACAGAGGAATTCTATAAATTGAGTCTAGCAGCGATAAACGTAAAATATGATAAATTATCTTGAGGCATATTTCCAGAGGAGGAAATAATTTCTGAACAAAATTAAGTTTATTATAACCTCTGGAAAAGCTTTCCAAATGCATCTCAAAATGCTGTTTGAAAATTGTAGATAATACTTTGATTTCAAAGTGTAATATGAATAAATGATTTACCGAGGTAACTTACGTGTAATAATAAAACTTTTGATTAGCCAGAGGCAAATAAACTAATTTTATTGCATTTATTTAGTTTAAAAGTATTCCTTCAAATGTTACAACTAATTTATACTTATTTTATCATTCAAATTCAACCTATGAAAAGATTTATTTTCCGATATGAATTCAAAACAAATGAAATCTGTAAATAAGGCGGGAGTTTATGTCATAGAATCTGTATTCCTTGACACCAGCGCTCGAGTGCCTCAAAAATCTGGGAAATAACCGGTTACCGATTCTTGGTACGTCGGAGTGTGTATATAATTTTGGTCGGGTTTATGGAAGAAATGCATAGATCGTACAGAAAGAAAATTGTCTACTCCTGTGATGGAACATTTAACCGGGTGGCTGAAAAACGTTAATGTCAAAGCACTCAAAACTTCAGAAGCAAAAGCATCTTGTAGACTATGGATATGATATTAACGTTTTCAAGTCATTCACTAGTGTCAGCACACAACGAAACCGAAAGATGCATGCAATTAGGGGGGGCTTTTTAATTAGAATTTTTTAACCTAGTCTCTTTTTTGATTGGAAACTAGTCAGTAAATAGTGTAATGTGTGTGTGTCTAGTCCTATTTTTGAGGCAAACTAAATTTTATCAGTCACGTTTACAATGTGGCCACCATGCTAGGTGGTTCACCATCACAGTGCACTGTGAACTGTTGACATTCAGTGGTTGGAGGCAATCGGCAGGAAGCCTTGGACCTAGGTTTCGTGCCAGTTGGCACTCACCAGTCAGCAAGATATATCTGCAACCTTGAAGGAACCCATGTTCCTTCTGAGATTCGAACTCGCGCCACCCAGTGGAGTAGTCAGAGGCGTTATCACTGAACTATTCAGTAAATAGTCAGTAACTAGTGTCCAAACAAAAATATCCGATGCAGTTCTACAGGAGGTGGATCGTGAGCCTGAACAGCCTAATGATAACGTCTCGGACTGCAGCACTGGGTGACGCGAGTTTGAATCTCAGAAGGAACGTCGGTTCCTTCAAGGTCGCAGATATGTCTTGCCGACTGGTGAATGCCAACTATCACGAAACCTAGGTCCAAGGCTTCCTGCCGATCACCTCCAACTATCTAACGTAACCTCATCTCTGTCTACTAAAGGAAATGGTGGTTGCTTTGAATCTGACATGGCAATATCTCTTACTTATTAGCTGTTTTTAGCATTTTATTCTATCTCTTATTATTGTTCTATTCCTCATTTAAAACTATCTTTTCTCACTACAATTGTCTCGTCCCATTATTATTATTATTATTATTGTTACTAGTATTCAGTTTGCAATTCCTAACATTTTAAGCTCTTTCTCTGTTAGCTAGATGTGAATTATAGTGATGTATCTAGACCGTAATCCATCGTAATACTAATTTTATTCTCACACCCTTCCCCCTTAATCTACCTGAACTTGACGTGTAAAATATCATCATCTCGTGTTTTGCATGACTGATTCACCGTATTTTATTTAACAGTCACATTTTGGCCACTGTATTTTTGACAGTATATATATATATATATATATATATATATATGAGAATGTGCACTTTGCTACCAATAATACTTCGCCGATGAGGACTGGTTTGCGTATTTCAAGGAGATAAAAGTAGAATGACGATACACGATGCTGTATTAAAATTTCTATTCAACTTACAATAAGGATATTGGATGGAATTTAGCTGAAATTTGTTACATTTTTAGCAGTCACCTTAGAAACTTTTCAAATATTTCACATCATCAATGAATTGAATTTTTGATTTTCCCGTCGATTGATTGGACCGAAGTGCTCAGTCTCAGGTTGACATGTCGGCTTCTTGTGCAGATGCTTCGACGATGTCTGGAGATTTGATTTGTATACATCCACCAATTGTATACAAATCAAATCTCTAGACATCGTCGAAGCATCTGCACAAGAAGCCGACATGTCAACCTGAGACCGAGCACTTCGGTCCAATCGATCGATGGGAAAATCAAAAATTCAATTCAATAATTAATATGACCCGTTGCACAAGAGGTGGCTCTCGTGGCCCAAGTGGTCTAGTGGATAACGCTTTGGCATTTGAAACTATGGGCACTGGTTTCGAGCCTCGGTGGGAACATCACCACTCACTGAGAAATGCAGGTACATCCAGCTGACGAGTCCCAATTAGGACGAAATGCGCGTTATCCTGGATTAAATTTAATGTGCAGATATAAACCAACTCAGCTAGTTTCTGTAGTATTTCGTGAAATATTATTGGAAAACATTCAAAAATATATACTGAAGGGGAATAATAAATTATTTATCATTTCCATGTTTTAAAATTCAAAGCTTAATAAAGAATATTCTCAAAGTTATACATTATGCTTTTTTGTAAATACTTAATTATTTGAAGAAAGAAGGTATTTTATTGAGTTAGTAGTTGATTTATTTACGATTGGAAAATCAGCTTCACTCGTAAGCATAAAAACATCCTGATGCTTTAGTGCGTATCTCTGTCGTAAAGTAGAGATGGAAACGATAGTTGATAC